AGAAACACCCTTCAGAAATAAATTAATGACTTTCTGCAGTCTACATTAATTTTTCCCCGTTGCACAGTCAGGCTTCTGCCCCCTGCTTTCCAATTCTCTCTCAGCTACTATCACTTCTGAGTTTCCCCTAAATCACTTTCCTTTTCAGTAGTCCCACTGCATTCCAGGGAGAGTCACCGAGTACATCTTTTTCTGCTTACTAATATTTCATCCCCGGTCCTGTGTCTCTCCCACCTGCCTTGCCCAGCAGTTGAACTGGCTAATTGAAACACTCTGCCAACTTTTGTCAACATGTGGGGTAGATAGCACCATTCACAGATTTTAATACTTTAGGTCCATCTTCCCGTCTTCATTCATTTTACCATGAGAAAAGTATGTTGAACACCTGTAGACTCAATTCGTTGTCTGTGTCTTTACTACAATCCACATTATCTACACATTGTTGTGGTGCTTCTTCTTCAGTATATGTTTTGTAATGTTTGATAGAGTCTTCCATATCTGTTTGCTTCTTCCTCTATGCTTTCAGGGCTGGACTGATTAAAAAAAGAAAAGTTTGCTTTCATGTCCGTTGCACAAACCAGCTTTGAACAGCTTTATAATAATCATAACAGACAGTAATAATCTTCTTGTTTTGATCTATTTTTAATCGTTTATAGTTTTTTCTTGAAAAAAAGAAAATTAAAAGAATCTTTAATTTCCTTTTAGTGTCCACCGTAAATTGACTCATCTAATCAGAGAAAAAAATCAACTACAGTTGGTTCTTTTATGCCACAGATTTTTTTTTTTCTCTTTTAACCAAACTTTACGACAAACTTCCTCCCAAAGTATGCAAATGAGTTTCGTTTCCCTTTAGCTTTGCATTGAATGTTATTCGTCTTTAGGCATGTTGGCTCAGAGGAGCTTTAATGTGTTTTTCCCCAGTGATGGCTGAAGTACTCATGGTGGTTGGCTACTATGCTTAAGTCTGGCTCGACTATTCAAGAGAGTGCCTCAGGACAAATATGTCCTACAGGATTTAAAACAAAAACTCAGAGGCATCATGGCTGTCTAAGTGAGTAAAAAGGACCCATTCCTGCCGCGCCATCGTGCTCATCACTCAGAATTCCCTATTCTGTGACTATAGAAATAGAGTATAATTTAACTTTGGGGCCATTTCATTGTTCGCTTTAAGCTGCTTAGCTCTAAAATATTCATATTCCAAGTAAGGGGGGTAAAAAAATCTGTGATGGCAGCAGGCAGAGGCAGAAAAAAATAGTGTGCAAGTCAGGTAAAGAGAGACAAACCGAATAGGAGGAAAAACAGGGGTTAAAAAAAATGAAAGAGAAACCCAAAAGGAGGGGATGAGTTTACGTAAAACAACACTTTAACTTATTGCCTCTTATTAAGAAATGTTCTTTTTCTATCTGTGACGCTTTACGGCAATTCTGTCCGACAGCAGACAGCCATTTCCCCGTCATCCGCCCCAGCTCAGAATGCAGCCCCGGAAAACTGCTGGAGCAGGCAGAACGCAGGAATAGACGCCATTGTAATCATGATCCAGATGTCACTGAAGGCAATTATTTACAGATATGCTGTCACAAGCGTGTTGATAGCTGCCACTTGTTCTCGGCAAGACTAAAGATAGTGCAATGTCGTACTTGGAAAAACAGGAAGAGCGACGTTACACCAGTTGTTTGATGCAAGAATAGAAACATATGACACAATAACAAGTAAAGATACGCTCACTATGACACGGAGTGAAACAAAACTAGAACATCAATATCAAAGCTCTAAAGAAACTTGTCTAACAATATTGCTATAGCTTCACCTTTCAGACTCATTTATTTACTGTGCTGAAAATCTTCTGAAACATCTATGCAACTTCATTTAAAATTTAACAAAGATGCTTTGATATGAATCAATGGTTAAAGAGTGAAAGTCTACTTAAAGGGGCAAAATAAAAGCTCCATGGGGGCAGTTTCATTAGAATAATTGACATCAGTGACAGAACATATGGTAATTTAATTTGTGTTTTTGTCACTTAGCTCCAGACCGGCATAACAAATCTTCTCAGCAGGTCTGACAGGTCAGACAGAATCTATTTCAAGCACAGATTATTTTGATCTTGCTCACCTGCACAGCTTTTTGTGAGTCTGTGAAACTGTTAATATTCATCACGATGTTAACTGGATGCAAAACGGATGAATTAAGTTACCAAAGCACATTTACAGAGGCAGACTCTAGCTAACATGTTAAATAACAATGGAAGCACATGAAAATGTTGATATGAAGCTGATATGTTCAGATATATGTAATTTAGACTAAGGTATCTTTCATAAAATCTCATTTATATTCCAAATTCAAAGGACAGTAATTTGTATGCAAAAATATTTTCTTTTGTATATCTAAGCCAGGGCGGCACGGTGGTGTGTAGGTTTGCACTGTTGCCTCACAACAAAAGGGTTCTGGGTCCGAGTCCCCGGGGGAACCAGGACCTTCCTGTGTGGAGTTTGCATGTTCTTCCTGTGTCCGCGTGGGTTTTACTCCAGGTTCTCCGGCTTCCTCCCACTGTCCAAATACCTGCATGTTAGGTTTATTGGACATTCCAAATTGCCCTCAGGAATGAGTGTGAGTAGTTGTTTGTCCTTGTGTGTCTCTGTGTGGCCCTGCGATGGACTGGCGGACCATCCAGGGTGTACCCCGCCTCTCGCCCATTGACCACTGGGATAGGCTCCAGTTCTCCCTGCGACCCCATTAGGGAATAAGCGGTAACGATAATGGATGGATGGATATCTAAGCCGTGCTTGTGTACCTTTTCTGAAAGCAATTATTTTTCTAAATGTGATTATTTTAGCACACTACTGTGCATGCCTGGCACCTGCAGTTGGGTCATGTGTGGTGTATGCTCCTTTCTGGTATATTGTAACAGGTATATTGTAACAGATTGGAGCCTCTGCCTATGCCATACAGCTGGAGCACAGTTATGTAACCTCCCCCCCCCCCACACATACACACAAAGCCAAATGAAAACTGACACGATCCAAAAATGCACCACACATAGATGGTTGCATTAATGAGTCACCACATCAAACTTGCAAGAAAATTAAGCAATCTTCAAGACAGCGCAGTACAGAGGCTCTGTGGGACTTGCATGCTGGATTATATCATTATTTCTTTTTACAGGAAGTCTAGTTTTCTTTCACCTGTTGCTTCAGTTTAGGCTTCCCATCGGAGGCTGAAAAAGAGGATAGTATATCCTTAGGCAGAAGAAAGAGAGCAGGAGGACGGGTTATACAATAATCCTAATCTTACATAATCAAACGATAATATGTTGCCTTTTGGGAACATTTATTGACCATCTCTTTTGACTGAGAGAGCGAGTGACTACAACAAAAGGAAAGTAGGTTGTGTCGAGGAAGGTACAGTCAGCCGGTGCAGAGATGTAACATGAGGAGAACAGCAGCAAGCATTGATGCATGTAGGTTGTTTGGTATCCAGGCAGGCTGAACTGCGGCGCCCGCTCCTGCTGTTGCTGCTTTAAAAGAAAAACCCGGCGCTGAATTGATATGCTAATTTGATTGAGGAGGTGTGGGTGGATATGGAGAAGGTTTTAAGCTGCAAGGGGGACAGAAAACAAGAATGACAATGAAAAGAGAGGGAAAGAAAGGGAGAGTGGGTGTAGGGGATGTGAAGGGGAAAGGGAGAAGATTGAAATGAAACAAATGAGAAGGAGTGGGACGAAAGGCAGGCTCAGTTTGGCTTTGCACTTTTGGGTTGGAGAGTTGACATCCGGTGAGTCAACAGCTGTCAGTCGGCTGTGCAAAAGCAGCAGCTGACACGGGGTAGCAGTCAGGTCCACCAGCATATGTTGGCACTCAGGCTTGTTTGGAAATATCTGTTAATTGGTCTCTATGCTGTATTTTTAACATGATGATAAGTACGCCGTTTCACAGAGGGATGCTCGTCCTCGTCATTTGTGTATTTCAACAAGAACACAGACAGAACTTCCCTCAGAAGGGTCAGTTGATCAAATACAATAAATATTTATAAATTAATATAGATGGAACAATTACAGCAAACCTAAAAAATAGACGACAAAGCATGGGGAGTTAAACGATTTGGGGCAGTGGGCGTTTCCAGATCTCGCTCTGTTAATGGAAGTAATTTGACGTGGCAATCTAAAGGTTCTGTTAGCTTCTGTTGTCTGACATCATCTTACACAAATGGAAAAATCTGTCACTAATGTTGTTCAACATAAGTATCCCCTCCACAATGAGATACATAAGCACAAAATGACATAAAAAACCAGCATTTACGGTTAAAGTTTGTCAAATTTTAGAATCTCTGACCTAGATTTTTACTACTGACAACCAGGAAACATGTCCAACACACCCAGGCGTGCCTGTCAGATGGCAATTTAGCATGCTGACATCTGTTAATCAGCACTTATGCAAAGTACAGCAAACAGAAAGGAATCAGTCCCGCCCCCACAGGCAATTTCTCTAAAACCTCACAGACCAAAGAACAGCTTTGATAAAGTGGTCAACCCAGTATATGAAATAAGATTTCTACAGCTTTTTTTCTTGTAATATAGTTGACACTGACAGAACAGCGAGACACCAGTTGAATGTTCATGGGATTTAACCGCACTGTGCCAGCACTGATGTAGTACTTACTTGCAATAAACTATGAATGAGTTTATTTCTCAGCCTCCTAGAAATAAAAACAGACACCGCACCAAAAAAAAAAGATCCTTGTGCTGTGTCAGCTTGTAAAGGATTTCACATTTACTTTTGCACTTGGCGTTGTGAACAACACACAGAGAAGCTTTGCTTGAAAAGGATGCTACTCCCATCTCCAGCAGGCTTCCAATAAGTCCAGGAGGAGATTTTAACCTCTGATACTCAGTCCAGAGCATTCTTTTATCCACCAATTAGTTCAAAGCACAGATTTTCACTCTGACACTCTATAGGCTGAACATATTTGTGTGGTAACTTCAGTCTCATATCATGTTTTCTTAGAAGCAGCCAGGATCAGAGGAGACACAGAAAACGGTTGTCATCCAGGAGAGGAGGCTCCATGCCGGCGTGCACAACGGCTGGTGTTTCCTTGACAAGCCCCAAGTGGTGGTGCTGGAGCCCCTTGCTTTAGGGGTCAGAGGACGAGCAGACAGCACCTCCAGGAAGAGCACGCTCGTCAAGGACAGGTGAGCAGTGGAAGTGTTTGCAGTGGAGTTGTAGCTGTAAGCATTGTGTGGGGATCAAACTAATAGGCAAAGTTTTGTAAAGTCAGCAATAAGTCTGTTTTTCAGAAAGCTGGGTTGGCATGAATGTACTTTGTGTAATATTGAAAAAGTGTATTCTTTCAGGTGTCACTTGCTCTGTTACACTGATAGAGTTGGTTGGTATTTCATAAATAAGTGCTTGGGTGTTGTGCAACGTCCCCCTGTGCAATGCTTGGTGCTCCCTCAGTGCTCCAGCCTCAGACTTTTCTTTCAAAAGCATGTTCACGTTAATTGAGTGTAGGAGCATGTGTGTGTGTGCATGTTTGTCCTTCCTGGATGTGAGCCTACTGCTCACCTGGACTGCATTGAGGGGATATAGAGGATGGATGGATAATCAAAAGCTAATAAACAGCATGAAAGTGATGATCCTGTGACTGGTTAGGTCTGAACGACATCTAAATGTAAGAAATATTCAACATTTTCTCTGACATTTACATTCAGGCTGTTGTTTGCTGCATTCTCCCCTCTATCCATAAAAATAAACCAAAAACTACACAATGTCATTATCACTCTTATCTTTCATAGAAAAAAAATGTAAGTTTATATTTTCTTTGGGACATTAAGGTGTGCATTGACCTTTTTCAAAGAACAAATTTCATATTCCTGATAAGGCATCCCATGTCCCAGCCTAGCTTTAGTATCATAATTTACACAGTGTGCCATACCACACAGGCTTCTACCCTCATAAAACAGCATCGTAGTACATTTCAATGTTTACTGATACGCCTTAGGAGTCAAGGAGATGTGACTGCCTCTGCCGCTACCCCTGAGTTTTATTGAGGCACCAAAGAGACTCCCTGCTAACATTGTCAAAACAGATATGCTGATGGAAGCTTATCACTATCTGCTTAGATCTTGAAGCAAGAAACAGAGTCTCAACCCGGCACCGCCCCTCACAGTGTGACCCTAAATCTAACTATATTTCCAAGAGGGTGAACCACGTCTGTGTTTTGTTTCAAGTTGCTGCATATATTCAGCTGTCTGGGCTTCTTGATTGCTCCATTTCAAAGGGAAAGAAAGGCACGACCCTTCAGAGACTCTGTCCTTTACAAGTCACTTTGCCAAACACCCACTGCAACCACTGTTTGTTTCAGCAAACCTCTGACCAGCTCCAGTAAACAACAGCCAGCCGTTCCAAATTAACGAGTTGCGTGGGTGCCTCACTCAGCCATTAAGCAGAGCTGCTTGGGGCTGGAAAAATGCTTCATGTTCATTTTATTGACATTTTGCAGGTGTGTCATGCCCATCACTTTTAGCATTGGCGCCTGTAGTTTCTTTTTACCTCACCATATACACTTAACATGAGTTGTGATGCAACCTTTCTTTAATGGCAAAAGATATGAGTCTGTGACATCATGCAGGCTGCCATGACAAATATAACATTGTGAGATGGAAGGTTATAAAGGGACTTTTCAATTTTAACAGTAATGTTTCAATCCTGGTGCCGTTCTGTGGACTAGGTTTGTCAGGCTTTCATAATATGCACGGTGAGAGGTGTTCGGGGATGTGCTTTTGCTGACAGTACTGTCTTGAAAATACCTAATTGGTCGAAAGCATAATAGCGTTCACCCACACGCTGTGGCTGGACAATGAAGGCAGGAGCGGCTGTGTGAACTGAATGTGTTTTCTGACATTCTTCCACACCTTTCTGTCAATGCGAGCACTCTTATTTAAGCTGCGCCCGTCTGCGAAATTGGATGGGATATTTTGTGGAGTTCCATGTAATGATAGCATTCAAAACATTTGAGTTAAGTATAACTTTAAAAGCAAATTTGAACAGATTGGTGACCAAGTGAAAATGTGCTGTTTGCCATTTAATATCAGACCCTAAGGGAGGCAATGATTATGCAGATGATTACATGGGTCTGTTATTGACATATAAAGGAGTACACAAATAGAAATGCACAACAAAAACACGGACGAGAACCAGCAATCTGTGCCTGATTATTGCACTGTAGGAATAACCTTAATCATGATCATCATGACAAATGGTGTTCTGTTTTCTGTGTTCTCCGAGGAGAAATGTGGTTGTTGTAGACGCGGCTTGGTATGATAACACCACTGAAAGCTGTAATTATGACGTGCTCCCAGTGAAAGCTGACAGTCTGTCTTGCTTGTTCTACACGTGATGGTTTCTGATGCAGGGGAAGAAAAACAATTTAATCTGTGAAGTGGAGAAAGAAAAGACGCTTGGCCCCACCTCGTGACACACTAGTGCTCCACAGTATGCTCCCGCCTATGGTGTATGCAAACTGTGAATGACGAATACCAAGAGTGCTGTTCCATTCTGCACACAGGAGGCCAGTCCTTGCCAGGGAGAATTTAGCATGCAAGCGTGAATCTTCCAACACATTGATTTTTTTTCCCTCCTAAAAAAAAGAGCAGCTAGATTGGGGAAAAAAAAGAACCTTTTCTCTTTTAAGTTCATTAGAGTAGTACATCTCCCTTTTTTCTCTTTGCAGCTCGGCAACATCATCCTTCTCTCAGATGCTGGGCCTTCGCAGCAGCCTGGAGCTCAGGCTGGTTAATCATCCAACTTTGGCAATCGTCTTTCAGCTGGAGTACGTCTTCTCTGCTCCAGTAGGCCGAGAGACTATGGTAAGATGCACACACAAATGCACATATTATACGTCAAGTTAATCCTAAACCCACATCCTGGCCTGAAATCAACCCCTTGTTGGTGTGAACACCTGCCAGAAAGTCCTCTTTATGTAAACTTATTTCCCTCACAGTGAAGCTAAAGCACTCAAACAAATCCTCCAATAATGTTTATGTAAAGACCCCCGTACCCAGACGTATGTTTGTGTTCGTTCTTCCCCCTCATCTTACTTCTTCTTTGAGTGTCACTTTTGCCAAGTTGGAATGTGCCATATCAATGAAAGTGTAAAGACACAAAATTACTCTGCTCTCGTCTCCGTTCCTGCTTTTTGATTCACAGCACACAATATCTTTACATTATTATTACTGTGTGGGAAACTATCGTAACTATTGTAAGGCATATTTCAGTGAAATGTGTGCATATCGACTCTAAATAAAGTCAACCTTTCCACAGCACACTAATAACGACTACTTTGTGTGAAGGGGGATATTATAGCTCCAGAAAGTGCAGTAACAGTTTGCCTGTATCTAATATTTCCACATCCAAATTGCACCGTGCATCAGGATAATTTCTGGCACAGGGGCCTTTGTCTTGGCTCTGTAGACAGCGGGATATAATTAATTTTCCAATTATTCTCAGATCTTTTGTCAAATCAATCTCTCTAATGTGCCCAAAAGGCTAAGATGTCCATCGGGACGAAAGGTCCAGCAGCATACGTAAGACATCCTGTCAGGGAGCTATGTGTTTGTGTGTGTTATTTGCTTTAATCTGGAAATGAGGCTTTGCTTTACACGGAGGACCATAAACATGCTCTTCTGCAAAATCATACAAGATTTGTAGACATTCATAAATGGCTTAAGGCACAATGCTTAAACAAACCATGTGAAGTCAAAGGGCTGCTTGTAAATTAGATTTAGAAACTTGATATTACAGGCATATTTTTGTGTTTAACACCTAGACACACTGATCAGATTCATTTATGTCTCTACTGACCAGACCCAGATGTTTCCTGTCCTAAAATTTTTTATAAAACAGCTTGTCATGGCATGCGTGAAGACCTATTATCTAACAACCGCCTTAGATAGGTTTGGCAGAGCAATGCCCAGATCATTGTTTTTCTAAATGGTTGCCTTACCTTTCAAATGTGTGCCGCTTTTACTGTTAAGTTTCTGCATGAAAGTGCACATCGTTGTAATTATTGAAAAAGTCTTATTCGGTGGAATCGTCAAGTGTCCTTCTGCTCATAGGAATTGTATAAAACTATAACTGGCATCTGTTACAGACTCACAATGGCAGAATGTCCCCAGAGAAGAAACTTCCAAATTCAAACCATGCCACTTAACAACTGCTCACAGCACGAAAAGCCATAGAAAGTTGGTGGTAATTATGTGTGTGGGTGAGCCCTCAGTACTTTATGCATGCCAAGGTTGGGCTCTTACTGTGCTGTCGTGTAATACAAGCAGGGGTCAACAGAACACCAATTAACAGCAGCAGAAAAACAACCATTCGCTGTGTCATTGGGACAGCAGTACATCTATATTAATGTATTCATTCACCACTTTCTTACCATAGCAACCACTTGACAGGCAACATGTCTAATGGGCAATTCTCTGTTTTGTTCTAGGTATTTTATTTGCTCATGTTTGTGTATTGTTCCACGGATAAAGTATATTCATTCATTCAATAAGGGGTTATTCCATGGACTTGTTGACACATAAATCCTCTCAGTTATAGGAATATATACTGCAGAATACTCAGTAGGTTCTTCTAGCACATGATAAATAACCCAACCTCAGCAAGGAGTAAATAGGCAAACTCAGATATGTTTTGAGTTTGAACTGGAGTTGCATTTTGACAAGGCCGTAGTCGAGGCTGATGATACTTCAATATATTATGAACAGATTGTATTTCTTTCTACAGCATTGGACTTGTTATCTTTGATATATGGATGGAGCCTGCCAGATGATGAGCCAAATAATCAATGGTTTGGACAAGTTCACATGGAGGACAGTGATTTTTGTTTCAAAATATATTACAGTCCTTCAAAAAGTAATTAAAACATTTCACTTTACGTCACAATTTAACGTGAGAGCTGGATTATCATCCTATGCAATAATCCTGTAATAGTTTTATCTATTGCTTGATTAGCAATTCATTAATTTACTTGCTCTTTTCCAAAACCAAAGATATCGGTGGCTGGTTGTTTCTTGAATTATGTAGTGGTTTTCACTGACTCTGTAGGTTAGTAACTGTACACTGGTCCACTGGTGCTGCGCTGGGGTAGAACGCTTCATGTCCTGGCATCAAATCGCAAAGATGATGGTGCACTGTCTGATGTAGCAAACTAAAAACTCTCAGCCCATTAAACTCATGTGTACGCCGACATGTCACAGGCTTCTTGTAAAGGTATTGATTTGTGTTCGCATGTCTAAATGAACCAAGACTCATAGGAAAAAAAACAGTGTCTGTAAAGATACAGACCTAAACCTGTGATATACATGCCGAAAATCCAAATATTTTATTGTGCATGCCAAAATGAAAATGCTTCATTACATAGCTTCTTCTGAAAGCGAAGTTTTTCTTGATTAAGAGCTGGTTTAGCTTTTTTGTGCACTTTATCCATGAGCCATTTAATGAAATACTATGTATCTCTTAGACATATTTTGAGTGAATTTACCTCCTTAATGATGGCCATAAAGAAGCCTGCTTCTCCGTCTAAGTAGTCACGTTCTTCAAGCATTTTTTTCACCTGCCATTATCTTAGTTTTGCACAACCGTAAAAGGTAGCAGACACACTAAAAAAAAATATGCAACCTTTTCCCACATTTTAGCTATTACTTTAGTTTTAGCCATGAAGAAAAATTGTGATGAACTTTATAGAACTATCCGATCACCCTCTGTGGAATACCAGAATAGAAACAGAGGATGACAAAGATTTGACGAAAGATCTACCCCCACTCTCTACTCGCATTCTGAGATGAGTGTTTGAGTGCTCGATGAGGTGAGAGATATTCAGCAAGGAGCGTGTAATTTTCGTCCATGTGAGTGTGTCTGTGTGCGCTTTTTGGGCAGACATTTACATCTTTGTGTTAATTCAGATGTTCTTGTGCATTTGACGTTCCTCCTAACAGAGAGTAATGCAACTTTTGACATCTCACAAAAGGACTCTAATATGATCCGCTGATGTAAATAACTTCATGCTCCTTGACTTTGGCGAGCGAGAGGAGCTTGACGGGACAATATACCTGTCCGAGCACTGTCTGGGCTGTCAGAGATCGGATGCTTTTAGATGCTGAGGCGTTGCTGAGATAAGTTGTGCCTTCAGGGAAGACAGCTGTACACCGTCAACAAGACTTCACACCGGTTGACACCACTTGAGAACAACAAATATGAATGTTCACTTCATAGTGCCTTCACAAACTTACCGAAGTCTTCTCAAGCCATTGTTAGACTCTAATAATATGTAAAGCTGCAAAAAGCCAAGCTGCTTTCAAGTGGGTTTTACATATGCACCTCTTGATTTTGACTTCTTTGTGTGCAGTTTGATGCCATTGAATTCAAAGATAAACATGTTAGTCACTGAAAAGAGAGTGCTTTTTAAATGCATTTATCTACGTACACAGTGAAATATTATTATATATTATTTGCACTGAAAGCAGTGTTACAAACACAGAAAGTCTGTTTTTCTTTCATCAAAATATAGGCTCTGTAATAAATGTAATGAGTAAAATATGTATTGAATAAGATGTGGGATGCTATGTAATTGCAGGATGATCAAATTACTATAGATAAAGTTACATAAGAACGATTGCAGTTCAATAGAGTATATTGAGTGACTCTGACAAAGGCCCCTTGTGCTTCTCTAGGGGCAGTAGATATGAAAGCTCCAAGTACTCCAACTAATTGTGTTTGTGGATTCATCTTTGAGTTACTGAGTATATCATTATACACTGATGCTCTTTAATCCTGTACATGAACTGCTAAACCTGTTCTGTCATTGCCCATATTTCTCTGGCTTCCTCTCTGAACAGCCTCTTTGAACACTAGATGGTGCTGTGTAGTGCCACTTCGTGCAGCGTCCTGCCTGGCCGTGTTGTAAGGCAGGAACTTGCATCCTACCTTGTTGTTGTTCTTGTTCTCTGATTAAATAGACTTATATCTTTTGATGTATTCTAAGGGGGCTAAGGTGGGTGAAAAAGGGAATAAAACAAGTTTGTTGTAATCCCTTCTCTCTCTGAAAAACATTACCACTGCAATACAGAGGCAATCACTCGGTGCTCTGAGACTGCCTACAAGCTTCATCCTCGCTGTGTTGAAAGCCAGTCGCCTTCTCACTGGAAGGCAAAGAACAAGCACAACCTCTTTTTTTTGTTAAATTGTATTGCTTTCATTGCCTTTGGAAACGTAGAAAGAAAATCATTCTGTGTCATCATTTGTCCTCTTTGGTATTTTTTAACTGAATTTGTGATTTTTGTGGCTCTGTTTGTCTATTCTCACCCTTAAAACCTATGAGCACTGCTATCTTTCTGCTTTTGGCAGCAATCAGAGGGATGCGCATCATTTAAATGAAGGAGGCTGGGGAGAGGAGACGAGGAGAATTTGCCTGATAGGTTCCTCTCAGAGGATGTCTGTAGTTGAACTTCAAAACTTCAAATCATCAAATTATTTCGCAGTTATACACGCCCTGGTCACCTCCTCAGTCTTCCTGTCTCTGTCAGAGATATGCTCTTTTAGTCGCCGTCTTTTGTCCCTTTCTCATCAAGGCTCCATTATATTGCTGCTCCAAATACATTCTGAGTCCTTAAGATTTGATGCTTCCACACAGGGGGACTCTTTTCTTATAATGTCCACTGCAGCACATTTATTTTCACATCACTCTGCTTAATTCTGTGGAATAACCCGCAGAAGCTGTGGAGGATGGATAGAGGCTGAGGGAAACTATGTCTCAGAGTTCCAATTAGTTTCTGTGCTCGGTCCTATAATTACAATGTACCCAAATATGAAGATGATGGTGGTCTTAATTCCTTCTGTAGCTTCCCATAGTTTTACAACAATTGCTCCATTTTATTTGTGGCTGGAAATACTGAAATGATTTGACATGATAATATAGCAACTTAGTTTGACTGACAGGTATCCCCATTTTTGTTCTTATCTATTTATGTGCTACAAAAAGTATGTTAATACTACTTCAGTTTTTCCACTGTTGAATAATGTAACAATGTCTCTTACTTTATGCTGATAATGTTGGGCTTTGTTCAGCCAAAATTTTAACATCTAGAGAGGAGAAAAAGATTCAATGCTGGGACTGTAAAGGGGTTGTAACATGATCTTAGGGAACCACTGGGTGTCACATTTGGCTAGCAGTGACTCAGGCCAAAGCAAAGTGAGCCAGAATCCACGGTAAAAATGCATACAGAGCCCCCGAAACTTCTCTCAGGCAAAACTAAGCCATATACGAGCCAGTCCATCCATCTCTTTCTGGGTGCTGATACTTCACCTGCTCCACTACGCTCACACATATGAACACTCCACAACCTGAGCAGGAAATGTGAGGCACTTAGGAGGGGAACTGATAAGATCGCCACTGCATCAGCAAATACTTTTTTTTTACTGCTGTCTTACGTTTTAAAGCATCTTTTATTGAACCTTTAGCCATTTACAGCTGAGTTACACACCAGCGTAACAGAATGTTTAAACAGTCACAGAAAACCACTCACATCCAGGGCCAGGAGCCATCTTTTTCCTCTTATCCGTCCACATGTATGCCGTATACATTTGTCATCGCCTGCTGATTAAAGCTGCTGATGCTGACAGCTAAAGATTGCCAGATAGTAGGTAAATGAGAAAATGTTTGTTGTTATTGTCTTTTGGCAGAATGTCCCTCAGAATGATCTGATTTGCCATGTGTGTCAATTTAACCAAATGGCACAACGATCCCTATTTCCAAATTCATGTAAAGAGCATTGATTAAGAAAGCACTGAAGTGTTTTAACCTGAGCTCTCATCCTTAATCCATCCTCAATAATGTCACCTACTCATCACTTGGAGAAAAGAAACACATCCATTTGAGCACATAATACATTTATCTATCCAGTCAACGGTATAAGTGGACACCTTCTACAGAACATGATTTACTTACTGTGGGAATGCTTGGGTCACTGACACTGACGTGAGGCAAAGACAGCTCCCTTAATTGTGTTCTGCCAGCACCAATTTAGCTCTATCTTAACTTCATCTCAGAGAGCCCTTTCCCCATCGCTGCTTGCGGATAGGTGCCCCCCTCTTTTTAGCCACTGTAACATGGCACTGCTAATTTTTTCAGGCATGCAATATTTCTATATTGTACAGATTAATGCAGGACTTTGGGGCTTAGAGTTGCCTGCTGTCTTGAGCTGACAAGCACTTTCTTTTTGTTAATGGGCGGGCTGATCCATGGAAAATTGGGGTTTGGAAGCAGTGATGGCCTGCACGACCTTGTCATTTTGCCATGAAACAGTTTTTCATTAAGGGGAGTGACGACAGTAGTCATCCAAATCTTTCACACAAAGGGGAATAACTGTTAGTAGGTCCTCAGAAAGACACAAAACAGAAAAGATGGACCAGACAGAGGAGAAGTCGGGGGACACGTTTGGTTCCATCCACCCACAAACAAGCATTCTTACCTTAGAGACACACTCAGGTGTGGATTGCCTCTGTAAATTTGTAATTGGAATCTTTCCCAAGCTGTTAAACTACAGCTAGCCTGCGCTCCTGAGAAAGGATGCTGACAGTTGTGAACTGCGTCATGCACTGAAATAGGTCCAGGAAAACATCATACTACAGTATGTTTCCCTTTTGCATAACCTCTAACCCTGGCCAGGCCAACCAAGAGGCTTCATCAGTTCTAAATGATGGTGGGGAGCACTAAGATTAATATACTATAGCAGTAACAAAAGAATTAGGGGGGGACAAAAAACAAAAGGTGGCTCTGATCCCTCCTACTGGATGGGCCATAGAGGTTACCTGGGGCAGTGTTAATGGTCGTTAGGGGGTTCTGATGGGTCGTTAACTCTCTCATCTGAGGGGTGTTGGTCACATGCCTCTTTTTCAACTGCCCTCAACTCAGCTTAAATTGTTTGCTTTAGCCCCTGACTGCGCTCTCATTAGGATTTTTGCAAGATGGAGTCTGGCATCAGGTCCAATGTTCCAGTTCTACCTAAAGAAGCACCGATTTTAAAATTAATAAAAGAATTCCTTCATGTCTGTATTAGGGTTAGTAAAACAACAAAACACTCTGCTTTCTGAAACTTTAGTTCTTTGTTTTTTTCATTCCACGAGTTTCTTTAGACTCAGATGACAAAAAAGAGGAAGAGAGCTCGAAGAACAGAAGGAAGGCAGATTCACTGCTTGGCCAACAGCTGAGATGAATAAGTAGAGCAAATACTGAACCGATGGAGCATTTGTAGTTTCCTGTGTTCTTAATTATGTCCTGACAGAGACTGGCAGCACTGGAGATTATCTACTGATATTTGCATAAAGGCCATGGATATGACTATAAACTGCAAGAAGACCTTTAGCCTGCATTAAGAAGTTGATACAGCATATACAACACTAAAAAGAGAGAAAGTTACTTGCTGATATTGGTTTACAGATTACTGATGTAAACTGACCATTACAACATTTCTTAAAGTTTTGAAATGCAGTTTCTGATCCCCATTCGCACAATACTAAAGAAGTTTATATTTTGTTCTTAGTATAAGGGACTCATTTTACTCCTAATGTAACTTAACATCACCGTAGAAAATAGGCCAGAAGTTTTTTAACATCTGTCCTGGTGTTGCTCCATTATGTAAATGGTCATGTTTGTCATGGTCAGTTTACTCTTGGAGATTCCAGCTCTTGGAAGCGTTGGAATACATCCTTATTTGTTCAGCTGGGAGTGTGAGACAAATGTAGATAAATAATTATTGTGGTCCCAGCATCTATTGTCAGTTGTACTTTTTTCGGGCAGATTTCATCAGTTGAACTTGTAAACTGGGCTGATGTTAACTGTGGATCTTGCTCTGACTTTTTTTGCTTGAAAAGAAGACATCCTCTTCAAAGGGGTGTGATAATGTTGCAGTATTCCTTTATTCCCACCTGTCATTAGAACACACTTTGCTCTTTCAGCATAATCTTATGTTGAAGGTAGCATCGTCGTTGTCCATTATGTTCATCAACCTTTCTAGCATTATTCTTTGTCAGATGAGCACCAGCGTCTCCAGAGCTGTCCCCAGCACAGAGTCAGCCTTCCACATCAGTTTGATATGTTTTTCAGTGAGGCTGCAGCCCAAACAGATGGAAGCAAAGCAGGCTGCACTCTCCATGACAGCCTTATTGAAGGCAGGGAACATCTTTGTGCAGACAGTAAAGGATCTAGGTTTGCTAAGTCCTTTCTTGAGAGCGGGCATAGCAATACATTTCCAGTCCAAATGCAGAGTCATCTTTTTATTTCTGGGGTTGACAGGACTGGATGTCTGCAAGAACTCTCTAAAGATGTTGTATGCACTTGATTACTGATAAGAAAATAATTCAATGTTCATATACATTTTAGCTTTTTAGGAGAGTTTGTATGCACAACTTGAGATGCCTTAAGATAATACCTTAAGACCATTCCATGGGAAGAAAACATTAGTTTAGCTGTTTGAAGGAATCAAAGCACTTTGAAAGATACTATTGCTCTGCATAATTTTCTTCTTGTGATGCCCCCCCTTCATTTTTTTATGTGGAATATTTCCCGAGCTACAGCCCCAAGTGTTTTGGAAATCCAAATTTTGACAGGCCTGCTGTGCTGTCAGCAGAGGTGTGGTTCCGCCTTGTCTCCCACTACAACAGTAGAAGCTGCTCTGTTTAACGTGCTAATTAGAAAAATTGAGGTAAGAAAAAACAGGTTAAACAAGAGCACATTGAAAAAGTATGGCCAAAACAGCTTCTCCAGCTTTTTTTTGCTTTTTTACTCTTGTGTTCACATTTCATAAATGCTGTCCAAAGACAAGCCTTCTATACATTCAGAAATGAGTCCTATTCATTTTTTTATTCCTGCCTGTCGTGAGAGTCAGGGGATGGAAGAGAGATGGATTTTGGAGCAGAATAAATGGACACATCTAACAGCTGGGTTTATTAAAAGTGTCTGTGTTCAGACTCTCCTTAAGAGAGACAGTTTGGGTTTTAATTGCCCTGCCAGAAGCTAGATGCTCTATAGATTGCTGTGTTTTTCCGATGACCTCTCTTTTTGTAGCGGCCTGTGTGGCTTTGTGTCCGGTTTGTGTCTGTTGCTCAGTTGTTGGGGAAGGCAGTACAGGATTTGATATAATTTGTAGAATGAAAAGCATTCACCGAAACCCTACCAAATCACACTCTCATCAAAATGCCTTTGCCACTATGACAGCAACCCCAGAATGATTGAACTCTCTCTTGGTTTTAGAATCCTTGAATACCTTTCTCACATGACATTGAGCACCAAGTCCCACCACTGGCTCGAACCGCAGTCTCAAAGAAACAAGTTGATCTTTTTTATTTTTATTCATCTCTGATACGAAATGTCAGACAAATGTTAACTGAATGTTAATCAAACATCTCAAGTAATGTCATCAGGATTTAGAAGCGATGTTTAGAGCTAATTTGTGGCCTATTCTGGAGGTCATTCCTCCCTAGGGGGGCTCCCTTTCTTTCCTCTCAACAAGAAGAGAAGTTGAAGATGAAACCCAAGAAACTACATGCCACAGAGGCAACATTTCCGACTGCCTAATTAAAATGAATGTCAGTCCTCTTCCCTCGGAGAAGTGCATCAATCTCGCCCTGCGAAAGGCCCAGACAGAGTCTTACCCTGTCAGTGTCTGCCAGCAGTGCCATCCCACTCCATATGGATGCTGCACCCTGGCAAACAAAGAGACACTGGTGATGATGTTTGGATGTCTAATGGCTGTCTTGTGAATGGCCAGCCCACTATACTCAGGCCATGCTCTGTATATAGATGAGCTTCAGCCCGGACTTGAGGGATTTTTAACTTAAAACTGCAGAAGAACAAATGCCTTATTGGTTTGTTTGACTTATTTTATAGCCTGGAAAACTCCATCCAGCATAACTGTTCAAGTCTTTGATACTTTATCAAAATAAGGCAATATTGAAACTGTTACTGTTGGATGAAATAGAGAAAATATATATTTAGAGGTTTGTATGGCATCATCAATCTTGTTCCTTATAATACCTAATAATAACTTCCTGCAAGTGGTTTGGTAGTTAGAAGCTTATTATCATTACTTGAAGGCACATCTAATTTTCCTAAGAGGAGGTATGTGTGCTTTGATGATGGATTAATAATCATATCAGGCACCTTATGTCTCTACTCAGTTGGTAAAATGTGTCTGCATCGTTTTAATTGAGGAAGCCACTGATTTCCTTCATCAAACTTAATTTTTCTTTGCTATCAAGGAAAACAAGACCTTAATGGTCTGTCTCACGAAAGGCTCTTTGGAAAACAAATTACAATAAACAGCAGTTATTCTGAGCTGATGTTCGAGCTAAGTGTTAACTATAGATAAAAGTAGAACTGAGACTGTATTCATTTGAATGTGCTAAAATATCATATTGCCAACATAGGTAACGGCTAGCTACTGATGATAAGAGATACACATCTCAGATTGGTAAAATAGTTTGTCCAGACTACAAAAAGCTTTTTTTTTTGGGCATAAATTAAGCTTTTCACAGCTTATATAATACTTTTTTTGATCAATAGCAATTGAACCAACAACCAAAATAATCTTCATCAACTGACCTGGTTAATCTTTAGGTGTTTTTAATAAAAGAAAAAATAATTTAACTGCTTTAAAAAATATGTTTGAAAATATCAACATTGCCTGAGAAGACAACATGACATTGATTAAAAATCCCTTTAAAGTTTTTTTCATCTGCAGCTCTGAGATGATCGTCCTTCTTCCAGCCCTTATTTGGTCTTTTTGAGCTTAATAGTGGTCGGGCTCATTTGCAAACGCTTGTGTAGATGGAAGAAAGTATGAGTGTTTTAGCAGTCTTAAGTATATGATTGTGGTGCATTTTGTCTCCCTTCCTGCTGGGCTCCTCATTGTGGAGAATAAGTAGCGGAAGCTATGGGCCGGTGCCTGTCACAGGGTCTCGGTTGAAATAATGACTTGAGCAGCCCTGCAGACTGCAGTAATGGTAATAACTGTCAGACTTCGTCTCCCACCGATGCTCACATTCCCCTAATTTGGGATTAATTCCTGCTCCTCTCTAAAAAGCCCAGAGTCGCTGAATGTTTTGCCAGTTTCTTTGAGCTTCTTAAAAAGCACGTTCCTGCAAAGTGCTTCAGGAAAAACTTGCCTCTTTCGTATTCAGACACAAAATAATTAAGCATGGCAGTAGCAGGAATGACTTGGCTGTTTCTGCGTTGGTATTTTTACTTCAGTTTATGTTTTTTTCCGGCGGTGAATGGAACTGGTTGCGTCTTTGCTTCCAGGTCTCCATGTCTGATCAGGCAATGCGTTCCCAGGTTTATTTCATGTGCAGAACTTGTCCTCTGTCACTGTGAGATCATTTTCTTTTTTGCCTCATCTCCTTATTACCTCTCATAAGTTTGACGATTACTTTTCTTGCTCCTGGTTCTGAGATCTTTGCTTTCACGATGTAGTATGTTTGGAACAGACGTACTTTTTTTATTTGTCAAGAAAGGCTGCAACATTATACTTTACACTTCTAAACAAACCTGATGGATTCCTCCCTTAAACTCTGCTGGTTGGAGCAATTATGTGTGCAGTGACACTGCCTGTTATTGTTTTCTGTGAAAAAGTTCCCCTCTTCCTTGTCTTTGCCTCAGGCTTTTGTGTCTATTTTTTCTTCCAGAGCACCATTGAAATAAGCCAGCATGCTTTCTCAGTGAGAGTTAATGAATCTTGTTTTGAATATTGCCTTTAAAACTCAAATCAAGAGTTTAATCACACTTTGGGAAATTGGCTATTGATCCCTCTGCCTTGTTTGACATAGTGGAAAGAACCTCAACAAACAACTTTAAGACAAACTTTTAATTTAAATGGCAAAATCTCTGATTAATTTAAGTGTTTTCCATTGAAAAATACAAAGAGCCATATTTCATATCCATTAAAATATAACACGATCGATTTGATGTCTCTTTGCTTTCACCAGCGGGCTTGATTAAGACACTTGAATCACTGTTGTAATTTTTTTTTTTACCTCTTTGCAATTTCTTTTGCACTGGAGTTCAACAGCCAATGCATACATCAACTAACTACCTCCTACAGTGCTGTGCTTTTACCACAGTACCATTATATCTTTTACACCCATAAATGGAAGTAGCATTGATTTGTTATATCATAGTGAAGTAAATGCCTTTTATAGTTCTCACAGCCATGCCTCTGAATTTTGAGAACTGCCTATGAGATGCATTGAGATACATTATTTTTCCCTCCATCTTGAAATCGTTATCTGTCTGGTCAAAACTATCTCGATCAGTGATGTTTTTTTCTCGGAAAAATTGTCAGTATGTTATTTATTTCTTGCCATATTGAAACAAAATGTTTAGAGATACGATTTTACATATTGGGGACAAGATTTACTACTTCCACAGAAATTATTATGGTTAGGTCAACACTCTACAGACATATTAGAGAAAATGTGTATCTAATTGATTCAGACTAATTCGATGGACAAACAGGCAATGTCTCAAAAAATGAATATAATGCTATTTGTTTTGTGACTGCCAGAGTCAGAGATCTAAGAGACGGCTGTCTCTTAGGTAGGTGCTACTTGAGAGTGAAATTATAGTCTGAAACATGCTGCTTCTCCAGAGGGATGGGGTATTGATCACCATCTGTGGCCACTTGAGACCTGTGATGCTTTATAGAGGTCCTCTGGGTGTGCATAATAGCCTTTTAATGAAAGGCCTGAGAGCTTTTATGCCCGCGTCAAATGCAAGCAACAGTAATTCACATATGACTCACAAATGTGTCCGTTATTGAGACATAAACCGAACACAGAGCACCAGTGCTGTACTGTTATCTGAATGTTGGTATGTTCAGAGAAGGAGTGAGAAGTTGGCCACCATAAAATGAAACAGTGAATATTGAGATGCCTTTAACCTTTATACATTGAGCACTGGTGGCTTCTGCTGCTGTGCACTATTACGTGAACTGTTTAAAATGTCAGCTCCATTAACCTATCTGAGCACTTGACTCTGTGCTTGGTTAATTGGTTAGCAACATTGCGTTCCGCGATACATAATAAACTGACATTTCACCTCACCAGAAATAGGTGTGGTTTGGGCTCACAAAGAGGCCAATAGAGGACAAAACTATCACTGTTTTGTTTGGTTTTGTCAGTACCTCTTGTGGCTCTATCACAAATGATGGTTTGTCATGAGCAGAATTGAAATGGCAAAAACTTTTTGATAAGGTCATGGTAGAGATGGAGCAGTCAACAGAAGATATAACTTTACCTTTTGTTCACCTTTTAGTATCAGGTGGGTCGTCCACTCGGATCATATTAGAATCAACAAAATACGCCTAAAATGAGGAAAGTAAGCTTTCAATCGAGATCTTGCTACTGATGTTTAGAGGCTGCAAATCCAGATGCATTCAATAATTTCCACTGGGTGTGAGACACTGAGCTGCTCACAAAGCGTCACCAGTGGCTGTTATCCAGGTTTAGCCAAAGGTCAGCCAAACACAATAACTGTAATTATTCTGTAACCCGTCTGTTCCTTATGCTTACATCTAAAATATATTTCTCCTTAGGTTCATTATCTTTTCCAGTTTTCTGCCTCCAACTAATGCCAGTTTATGCAACATTAATTACTGGAGGTTCCAGCAACTTCGATAAAGCTTTTGGACTCTTTAGTCATTATAGTGGCAAACAAATCCTGGCAATAGGTGGCTTATTAACAGTGACAACATATTATACCTTCATTTCTTTTAATTTTAATTTAATAACTTTTCATTTTCATTTAATGCAAACTAAGGCCAAGATTTTTTAACAAAAGTTCACGTTGGACCAGTCGTAACATTTGACCACGCTGCACAATGAATGTAATTGGACAGCCACAAATTATTCTTTCACCTGGTGTTGATCTTTAATTAATCATTTGGAATCCAATGGCCGGTGAACAGGACATTTATTTCCTTTGTTTGCTTCTGCTGGAGAATGTTATTTCCTCTTTTTGTTCTCTGAATGGCCTCTAAATAGACCTATATACAATTTATTCTGCTGCTTGTAATTACATTTCATGGCCTAACACGGTACAGGAGCTATCAGACTGTGTTAGGGCCAGACTTGGAGCAAAATCAAGACTTGGAATTTTTCTAAGTATGGCCCATCCCGATTTTTCCTCTAGTCGCTCACTTTTGGTTTGAGCAACACATTTTCGGTGGAAAAAATTGTTGTCGAGACCCTTCCAGAAACACAAAGGCTTTTTTGTGCAAGACAGAGTGCACGCTGTGGACAGTGGCATTTTCTTACTCTCCATCACAATTATGGAAGACAGTTATCATTGTGATTGTGAAATGGATAGCATTCACCTGCTGTAAATAGTTGGGTCAGATTTGGCCGCGCTGACCCGACTCTCAAGTAATTTAGTTCCTTTTAATGATGATATCATCTCACTGTGGTCTTTCTTCTCATGTTTTGTCACAGCACATGTCTGCTGTGTCCAGCTAAAAGACAAACAGTGTTTCTGCATCGTTTTTTGGGCTATTTTAGTTGTTCTTCTTTATAGGACGGTCTGAATTATGTAACGTCTCTTTGCAAAATTACTGGGACTTCAGACCTGAGGAGTAACTGTGTACATTTATCCCTTCAAAGTTATTTTTGGCAGCAGAGAAATCTTCTAACTGCGACAATCATGCTCCATCCAACGCTTTTCTATCCATGCTCTTTTGTTGCCCTGGTGGGCTTTTAAAGTTATCGCTGCCTCTGACTAAAGTCACACTCCTGTCGGAAAGTGACATCACTTGCATCGCTTTAGGATATACTTGTTGACTTTGCAGTTCCTTATGTTTTTCCCCTGTCAGGTGTGATTATTTCTACCTTATCTGTGACATTATTAAGAATCGATTTGTTTAAAAGATGGGGAAGAGGGGACCATGGCTCTTAATGCACCTGCCCTACAATATATTCCCCTTTACAAGGTCAGATAACCCCCTGAGAGCCGTTTCATCGTCAAGTGGGCAATAACTCCTGGTTTGTTTTCTAATATTTGTGGTGGCCTTCAGCCCACCGTGCAGACTGACTCTCGTGACATTAGACAGAATGGAAAGATTATCAGTTCCAGCCCAGAGTTTTTGTCACATTTACTGCATCATGAAGATAAACTTGTTGTTTAATGGTGTTGCATGGTCTGGGTGGTGAGACTGGTTATGGCTTTGTAGGAACGGTTGATCTGTGATTCTTGCGCTCACTCAGTCTCTTGAAGTGTGTTTGTTTAATTTTATAATCTTTCCTCTTCATTTAGAATCTTTCCTTTTCAGATTTTTTTGGAAGAAAATATCCCAACCACCAAAGTGGTCCATTGAAATGTTAATGTGTTCATACATGTTTTGACTGTGGCCCTCAGGGGTGTTTCCAACCTGTTGCTTTCATGAGAATGATCTGCAATATTGTATTATTGTATTACAAGTAACAAAGGTCTTAAATAAACAAATACAAAATAGATAAACTGTTTTCGGAGGAATTGCACGCACTCTGCAAAGCATATGTCTTGGAACAGTGTAGACTCACCGGTTCCTTTTGTATTCTGTACTGACTTACCGATGATTGATTATAATCGTCTGAAGCTCGCCAGTTTATTAATCGATTCAGCGAAACCCCCGAGTACCCCAGTGGATGATTTAAAGCAAAAGGCTACTTCACTTCTTCTAGGATGGCTAAAGCGAAGGTTCAACAGCTTTGACTGTAAATCATCTTCATTCTGAGCAAAGCTTCTTCTAAGCCGTGCGTGTGACGGCGTCTATCGAGCGGTCAGGACAGAGCTGCCATAAAACAAGAAGGACAGGGTCATGAAACTGTGCATTTTAAAGCCTTTCACAGTTTTATCTGCCTATATATACAATCACCATTATCATGCAGAATTACCAAGCTGTTATTTTTTTGCTATTGTTCACAGTAAGAATGGATTTGCTTGATTTTTTTTTTTACTGGACGGATTTTATTTTCAATAAAAAGTCCCCATCACAACAAATGTCATTGTAAAAAAATCCATAAGAGCCTGTGCAAATAATAAAAAATGGATTTTTTTTTCATGTGTCTAAGCCGAAATAAACAGGTTGTAAATGTTTAATCAACATCAGGGCCCTTACTTGAGGAAAATTGTTATCCATAATCTGAGAGATGAAACCCACTGGAGCATATTTATGTCTTGTTGTGGAAATTTTTATTAGAGTCTTAGTCCGTTTGAGAAAGTCAGGAACAGAAATGTATTAAAGCAGAAATCAACCCAGCACGACCCAGCATGTGTGAACTCTACGACGTGCCAAACTGCTCTGATTGTACAAGGGTACATGTGCCATATCAGGTCACATCTGAACAATTCGCTCCCGTATCTGTGTAGGACAGTAAACCGTAAGTGCTGTTAGAGTACATGAGTCATATTTAAATAGTTACATCTATGATGATTGGTATTTTTTCCCCCACAGTCTTCACACAGCTGCCATGGCAAAGACAATTAGTATGGCTTTCCGTTTTATTTATTTTTTAATAAAAACACTGTCTAAGGTCTGAATTTAACTAATCTCCCCGTTCCCTCCCCATAGCTGTCTGCTACCGCCACATCCAGAGCTGCCTTCTTGCAGTGCCTTCGTTGGGGGATTTGGTGCCCCTTCCAGGAGCCAGCTGACTGGAAAGGCAAAGAGATACAGCTTGTTCTGCAAGGAGGTGCGAATCCAAATCCTCATGGAGTCATGGTCTACAGCACAGAGGTGTCTGCCCAAACTCAGAGCCCTTCCCCGGTCCCTGCAGGCACAGCTCAGGTAACAGAATCACAGAGGGGAATGTCTTTGTCGAAGGGCTGAAGTTGAAATGTAAACTAAGTTTATTTTTTTTATTTTTTCTTCAGTAAAGCTAAACAAAACCTTCTTTGTTGTTTATATTTCAACTTTCCTTTATTCAAAATTCTCTTTTGTTTTTGGGCCTGATTAATATAAAATGAAATAATAATTTAAAGCTCTGCTTTGAATGTCTTAGCCACGCCTGTTGACGCCTTTTTGTGAGCATTTCAATTCATCCAAGAAGTCCTCCAATTGCTATGGCTTTTCTCCTCTTTTCTGCTTTTTGTCATTCCATCCCGTCTCATCCCTCCTCGTGCCTGCTGTTTAACGGATGGAAGCTGGAAGCTCCACTGTTCATTTTCCGTGGCTTTTTTACTGTGTTACTGAAATGTTTCAAACATTCTTCCCTCAAGGAGGGTTTGCATGCGAAGGATACAATAAGATTTTGGCTGTCGTCCAGCCTGGAGAAGAAAGCGTCCAGCCCAAAGGCGTCACTGAGGGCCAAGCAGGAGGACGTGTCACGTCACACCAGATCCCCATCAGCATCTGCACGGGGTAAATATTGTCATGGAACGGCTTTTTAAGCTCATGCTAATTACTTGGAAGGGAATGGGAGCGAGCACATCTGAAGAGTTTTTCTCAATAAGGAGGTGAAAGGCTCTTCTCCGCTTAGAGCTTCAAGGGGAGCCACATTTATTTTCCCTACAATAAAGGAGCGCTTCATGGATCAGTGTGCGTTTGATGTGTTTTCTACTAATTGTTTATGGGTGCGCGTCAGGTGTGCACCAACACCAAGTGTTATTAGCCCAGGTTCTAAGTATCCAACTCCCCTGGCCGCCATAAAGTAGGCAGCCCCCACCTCAGCAGTGTTATCTCAACAGCAGCACCTGCTCTCTGCATGATTGCATATCTTCATTATTTCTGTCAGAGGGGAGTAAAGGGATGAAAATGTTAGCTGTACATTAGGGGCTCTTGACCTTGACTTTGCATTTTCATCTCTAAACTAAAAGACTAAGAAAGAGATGAACAGAGGCAGCATTGCATGTTCAAAATAGCAAACATTCCCACTGTCAGAAAAATTCTGCTCAAGACTAGAATGTTTGGAAGATGACTTTTCATCAGCAAAACAATCAGACAGTCCAATTCAAGCGCTTTTTGGGGAACTTCGGATTGTGTATCTTCGGTTTTCTGGAATATAACTTCAAGTAATAAGACTGGAAAATAGCACATACAATTTTGCCCCATGTTTGAAAAGACAAACCCGATCTCCAGCTGTGTCACGCTCCCCAAGTCAATATCCATGTTTTTCTCTAATACATTTCAGGTTGTGTGCCATTAGTGGCACCCATAAATGGCACGCTGGGAGGGTTTATCACCCAAGTGGACATTCATTTTGCATCTGTATAAGTGTGATTAATCAAAATAACGATGAAAACTGTTTTCCACTGTTCATCTTTGAAGTTGTTGGCTTTAGTTTTTTTGTAGTGCGAGTTAATTTGCCGTTAACCAGCGAACCCCAGCCCATCCCCTCATTCATTTGCCTACCCAGAGGCAGAAAGGCTGCTGTAGTGTCATTTTCTGCTTATCCAATGAGTCACTGATACATGGATGCAGATAACCGAAGGGACCGGCTACAACTGCAACAGATGGAAAAACCGGTCCGCGAGCTGCCACAGCAATTTCAGAGCAGAACTCTGACTACTGCTGCCAGCTGCAGTCAAAGATCACTGACATGGAGTGTAGTCATATGAGACCTCACTCCATACTGAATATATTGCCGACTCATTCATTTCACACAAAGTATGAATTTCTGTGTCAGGAAGCATAACATATGCAAAAATAGGCTTTTTTACAGAGTAGCGTGCCGCTCCCCCCACTCATATTGGTGAAAACGTATATTTCTCACACATCCTCTGAGCCAGAAAGACACTTTCAGACCCAATTGTGCAGCATCGGGTGATTTCTCTATACATTCAAAGTGACTGCAGTGGAATAGCATCAATGTGCAGTTAAGATATATTGTTGAATTATATCTTATCCACCTTTTTAGGCTCCATTTGCTGTCTCTTCTCAGCTTTTTAACAGTTGTAATTAATATTGTGAAAATTAAACCTGAACCATGTCCTTGTCTCTTTTTTTTTTAAAGATGTTAAAGGAGGTTATCATTAAATGCAGCAGGATTTCTCTTGAAGAAGCCTCATTATTCCCGGTTAAGCATGACCGTTCCGCAATATTGTTCCAAAATTAAGTTCTGAACCCTAAGCTGTAAAGAGGCCTTCCACTTAAACACAGTTCTGATTAAATATTCCACATCCTGCACACAGCCAAAGATAAATGATGTGCCACTGTCAGCCATCTCTTATTGATACCCGAAGTGCTGATTTGTTGCGAGTCTGTCAGTGATTAAAAGTGTGGCAGCACAGCCACTCAATCCAAATGACAGGGAAAAGAACGGAGTTGACCCTGGTTGTATTCCTGATTATTTCTCCTCCTAATGAGATTGTGAACTTATCTCGGAATAGAAGAAAAGCGTTGATCAGGGCCTACTTTGTTAGTGTGTCGAGGAAACTATTAGCAACATCTATTGATAACATTTTAATTAGTTTTCAAGTGTCCTCACAGTGCTGCCCAAGGAGCATGAAAGATTTGGGCTGGTGTTCAAAGGCGAGTGAATCACTTTCAGTCTTTCATTTCAATACCTCAGTCACCTTCGACATAGCTTTCTTCTTCCCTTTTTTCTAGGATACTGATTGCATGGATCTAAAGACATGCCAGTTTGAGCAGGTGTGCTGCTTCAAATTACAGGCAGATATTTTAGATTAATGTAAAATTTATGGCCGGCCTAAAATATGTTATTCATGTATTTGATGAATGCATGCATGTGAGATGGGCTAACTGCATCTCACAACCAACCATCAAAGTGATGCACTGCCAATCTCAGAATGAACTTTTAACTTATTCATGATGGGCATCAACATGGCTTACGGTGAAGGGGGGCGTGTGGAAAATCTCTAGTCCAGGCATTTTCGCCCATTTAGAATTTAGCTTCTGGATCTCTTGTCGTCTGTTTGATCATCATCTGACTCTCGTTGCTAATACTAAGATGAGAGGGAAGGGGTATATGGAAAAGATGTTTCTGTTCTTAGATGAATGACTTCCGATTATCAGCTGTGCGTATTTAAACATCTACTTTGCCGCTCCCCCTTTTTCCTCTACTTATGTACAGTTCATCTGGCTGTTTGCTCAGCTGTCAAAGCAGCATCTTATTGATCACAAACAAATGGGCAATTGCACATCAGTGCTGCTAACGAGGTGAAATAAATTCTCTGTGGGCTCCAGAAGTAAAACAGCGAGAAAATAAAAAGCCCGGCAAAGAAAACAGTTGCCAGGGGGGGTGGGGGGGGGGGGCGGGGTGACAGAGCGCATTCGTGACAGAGAGCCGGCCAGTCCCACACCATGTCCACTCTGTGTGCATGTAGTTTGAACAGATGGGAGCTACAGCAAGACACCCCAGGCAACTGAAGCAATTTCCAAAAGGCCAGTCAAGCCCAGCAGAGAGAGCTAAAAAGAGTGGAGGAGAAGGACAAAGAGATGCTGGAAAGCCTTTCATTTCAGCATTGCCATGGCTACTAACCAAAAATCCAAAGGAAGTATTGTTAGAATTTAAACTCAGTGAGCTGTCTAAATCTAACTCTGGCTCTTGATCTGTGTGAAATTGGATAGATTTGCTATGTTTGTAAATAGTCGAGGGATTCCAGTGTTCCTCGGAGTTGTTTGCTTTGCTTCAGATATTCACTTGGTAATGTTACGGTTTATTCTTACAGCTCAGGATGCCAACTCACGCCAAATCCAATCAACCCGCAAGCCATTAAAAAGAGATGACATTTTACAGTCAGCCTCTCTCCCCACTCAAGCTAATATTCCATTAAACGTCTCACCAAAATATGGAATAAAGTGTGTTGCCAGGTGCACAGAGAGAAAGTGGAAGATATCACAGTGTCATTAATTAAGCACATTATATGCTGAAGTTTCTAGTATGCACCCAGAAGATATTTAACACAGGACCTGAGTGAGAACGGAATAAAGGATGGATTTTACATGCGGATGCTTGTATTGACTTTATCTTCTTTTATCTCTCTTGTGTTTTTCAGGTCAAAAACAGATTCCACACGCCTCCCCCCCGGATTCTCCCCGAGGACCTGGGGTAAGACGGCTTTTTCACCCCTTCCTTGTATTTTACATGTTGCCCATTATACTGATCCAACAACACAGTAACATGTTCTGCACTGCATTATATTTTTGGGTAAAAAAATAAATCTTTGACAAGCCGTATAGCTGCCTCATCAAAGAAATAAAGTCCTGTGTCAGCAGGGCGCGGTGTCTTTGCGTCGGTGGACTTAAGAACAGATCTGTGGCGGGCATGGCTCAGCCAGGACTCGCTGAAGGTAAAACGAGTTTGACTTCAGCGCAGCACTGTGACGGCACCTCAGCCGTACCAATCTGAGAGAATCTCTCAGATCTCAATAAATCACCTGCTAGGAGGTGTTCTATCGACTGATCAGCTGCCTGAGCTCTTTCTCATTTGGTGGGTCTCGGGCCAGTAGGCTGTTGAGCAGCTCCCTACTTACAGTGGCTCTGAAGCTGTCCTAGAAGTGGTCATTTCACTGATGCAGCACCTGAATAAACCCTCCAAACTCCTGACTTGCCCTCAGGACGCTCTGAACCCACACCTCCCTAGCTACTCGTCCTCCTCAGTAAAATACCGGGGCAGTTTGAGAGATACATACTGGATTCAGAAAAAATACTTTGATACTTTTTAAATAAAGTAAAATTACATTAATGGCTTACATGAGAACATTGTCTGGTGCTTGAAAAATCCAGTGTACCACTATCAACGTTTCTGTTGGCGTTTAGAAGGTTATTTCAAACTCAAGATTTGTTTAGATTCGAGTGACTGTGGTGATTTATGATGTGATTAGAATCGTTTGTATTTACACTTAAGTTTAGAGATATTTAAGCCTGTTTTTCACTGGTTTTGGGGTTCCAAGAAAAAATCACAGTTTAAAGTACTGCTTCATTTAACTCCTAAACTTCATAGTATTATTTCATGCAGCACAACAACCAACTGGCTTGACATTGCATGGCCCTTTTGTTTTGACATTTTATCATGAGCTAATCCCCTTTTGGAAAAAAAAAAGAAACATGTAGTCATTTTTAGTCCTTGTCAAATTCAGACATGATCAATGGATTTCAGTCAGGCGCAAACCTGAAAATGAGTCTCGTCTGTATCGGGAAGCTTCAACAGCAGCCCCCTGTTCCCGGGTACAGCCCATCTTCCCGTGCTCTTCAGACAAGAAACATAAATCTGGTCTGACCCACACTTACACTGGATCTGGATTGTCCACAAATACAGTAGGTCAAGTCAATAAATTCTTTAAGATGTCAGCATAAATGTATTATCTGCCCCAGATCTCTCAGCAGCAATGTGATTAGGAGGCATAACCGATGAGAGGCATGCTTCCAAACCTGTCTTTCTTTTCTTCTTTGTTTCATGCCTCACATTCATCTGATTTCACATGTTTTATTTGCCCAGATGTTCCACATCTTGTTTATACACACACAAAAAAAGAATAAAAAATGCTGCTGCCCCAGAAACGGGAAAAAAGAAACGCACATGCGCATCTCTCCTGGAAATGTTATTCCTGATGAAAGACAACAAAATGTCTGTCTGTGTCAGTCATGAAGCACTTCAATCACTGCTAAAACCTTTGGAAGCAGCGAGAATACTGATGATGATAATCATCTCTAGTTGCATCCAATCAGATTAAATGTCACATTTGCATCTATTTATGTTTGAGGCTTCCCACAGGCAGCTAATGTAGTGCTGATCAATTCTGTTGCAACCTTGTAATAAATGTAACTATGCCATGATTATCCATCCATGACAACCAATGTGGGCTACAGTGTCTCATATTAAGCTCTATTTAGAAAACGTACACCAGCCATATGTACCTAAAGAACGTGTTGCTGTGTGTTGATTGTGTTCATTATTGTTTGTTTGTCCTGGCTGAGCTAAGCTACAGGGCGTAACCATCATCCTTCAGCCTGAGTGGAAGTGCCAATGGAGACTGGGAGTTGTGATAAATGGTCCTCTCTCACTGTCTCTGAGGATGAGACTTAAGACACACACACACACTCACAAACACACACACATACATGCAACACACAGTAATATTGAGCCAGAAAGCGGAGGAGGAGGAGAGATATCGGCTCTGTTTCAGTGTTAGCTCTCTGGGACAAAATAGGTCGGTATTGCCAACTCATTTTAAATTGAACCAGCAGGGGCTGCAAGCCGTGGGAGCGCTGCACCCCTGAACTCTACAAATCGACCCTATTTTGATTAAACAGCGAGGGCGGTGGAATCCTACAGGTGGTCAGCTCCCAGTGGCACGGATGAGATGTGTGTGGTCATACCGGGCAGCTCTTAGGTGGTGCTTAAATGAATATACTACTCTGCATGAAACACCATGGGGTCATAAATCTTCTCTTAATTTACAAAATATCTAGTGTATAGCATTAAAAAAAAGGTATTTTTCACGATTTCTGCTTGATTTTACATGATGTCTGTGCGTGCTCACCGCACATGAAAGCTTATAAGAATATGTTTTCAAGGTGCAAGGCTTCAAATTAAGCTGTTTCCCAAAATAAGCAATTAACTTTGCATGAAAGGAGAAACACACATAATAAGACAGAAAGAAAACATTAGCAATTTGATATGGTGTTGAGAGAAAAATAAAAAAAAACCTCAGTGACCACTCTGTCCACAAATAGCAATTACAGCATAATAGCGGGCTGACACCATTAACCAGCTTTACTAAGAGCACAAAGACTCCCAGCCTTAATAGGTCTAGTATTTGGGTGTAATACTGCCCTTGCTGCCTTTTAAGACACCACTTTCTCTGAGTTATGTGTTAAATGTCCCTTCTATAAATCTATGCTTTTGTCTTCTGGCTGCAGCCACACAAAAACACCACTTCAACAGGGAAAAAAATCAAATATTCACTTGCTAAGAAGACAAATGTCTTTTTCTAAATAGATAATACAGATAAAAACAAAGACAGACAAAGGGGATGTTGTTGGGAGTCTTGGTTGCATGCTGGTGACGGTGTGGTTCAGTGCTGAATGTGCAGCGGTTTCCCAGTCTACGACATCCCCACATGCTTTTTCAGCATATCCTATCGTGCATTTTCAAGTTTGCAGACTTTTTCGTACACTCAGACAGGAAAAGTAGAGCTCATTTACACCATCACTGCTCGGAGGGCAGAGTGTAGATATTTTTCTGCTTGCCGTCCAGGAGTGAGCAGAAAGAAGCAAAACTGCGTGAAGCCACAACACTTCAACACACGGTTCAATTCAACACGACTCTGCCTGCTGCTGAATTGACAAATTCTTCCTTTTTTCCCCCCCATTTATTTTGAGTTTCTAAGATCCTGACAACTTTTTTTTTAACCCATTACATTTTTTTTCTCCTTCCAATTGCTGATTAGTCAGTCAATCCCTCCATCTTCTGCTAGCTGGCATTGTTGGATGTGATGACTTCTTTTCCCGCTTGCATAAATCATTGATTGATGGCTTGCAGTGGTTCACAGTGCTAGCGATCCTGTGGTATTTGTCGGCAGCATTTGGAAGAGCAGCTGAGTTTATATGTGTTGGTGAGGATCATTCTCAGTGGACTGCACTCTCCTCTCAGGGTCACGTCCATGTTCTGTTGACCTCGGTGGTGTCGTAGCGTGTGGGCCGAAGGTGAGGCCATGTTTTACTTTGTGCTGGCAGACTGCTTGTTTGCCAGCTGGTACGGATTCATTCAAACCCAGTTTTTTCTTTCCTCCTTTATATAAACTTGTTGTTGTGTCCTTCTTAAAATTAGATGGTTTTGGGTTCTATTTACTGTACTGACTCAGTATAGGACCTCAAGCCTTCACTGCGTTGGCATATAACAGAGAAAATCACCATGAGCTCGGACTCACTTTGATGCTTTGAAACAAAGCATAGTTTAAATTTACTATTGATCTAGCTAACTAAAGATGAAATGCTGTGTCAGGCAGCAAACTGTTTTTTTTTTAGAAAAAATACTTTTCCTGAAAGTCATGATGTATGGTGATTATTTTACATTGAAGCTTGCAGCTGACTGACTTTCGGAAATATACATTTAAAACTGTACGGCATCAAGGCATAGTGGCAGTAAATTGAAAAAAAAAGTAATAAATAGAAAAGTGATTGTCATTATTTTTGCTGGTGCTTTAAGGTACACTAAGCGAAAATCTGAAATTGAAACTCTAGAATTATATTTGAGGGTTGGCGGGTCATTTAGGGCACCGAAGATGAAGGCTAATAAAACTAAATATCCAATTTGTTTGTGATCAGAGCATCAATTCATGGAATTCATGTGTGGGGCCGGGACTATCTGGAGCAAGTGTTATTGAAAATGCAAGTGTAGTACTTGTGAACTACTTCAATAATCTTATGTTATCCTTGTTTCAACCATTCACATCTATATTTGATTCATATTTATATATTAATGTAGGCACTATATATGTCTTTCATGTGACATTTTACTGGCTACTTCCCTGTACGTCTTCATGTTTTATTTTCTATCATCACTCTCACACAGTTATTATTCTTACTCATTTTTCAACCTGTGACATGCCTAGACTTTCTCATGCGAGTCTCATACTTTATACCTCTGTTTTTCCGACTTTTCCACCTTGTGTTCTCCATATTTCATTCCATTAATCTGTGCATCATTTTCAGGTAGACCCCTCCATCACTTTGACACAATGAGCGAGATTCCATGTCAGCGTGTCTCTCCCTCGCACACGTACCGATGTTAAAGGAAGAGGCAAATGAGCATTCATGAGGCTCATTAAAACACCTCACACAGAGAGGAAAGTCGTAGGACCTGGGATGACACTTTAGGGAGCACAGAGAGAATTCTGAGAGCTCCTCAATTGGCATCGTTTAAAACCTCTGAGGAATGTTGACTTAAATTCTTCCAATGCTCCTCATCTATTTTAGCCTTTAGCATGAGTAATATTGGCCTTCGGGAAACTAGTTTCTCGGAGAGAAACAATCGGCAACCTCTAAAATCCCCGTAGACAAAGATACTCCAAAGCAGAGCACTGTTATGCCTGAAGTCTCTTTGAGTGAGAGGTGAGTTACCCAGTGGATGTGCACAGTGTCCTAAGTTTCTTTTTAATTATTTTTTCTTATATCTATCCCTTTCACATCACTTTTGGTTTGAACAAACTGTGGCTCTGGCTAAACGCCAAACTCAGGCCTTCACACACAGCATTCATTTCCATCCTTTTGTATACATTCCACGTAGCAGTATTGAAATGGAAAAAGCATATTTAAGCAGGGCAGGATAGTGTGCCCAGAGCATTGGAGCGCGCATGTTGAATTGCTTAGCTAAATTTGACCAAGCAGTGCAACACCGTATGCTCTAGAACTGGAGTTTTCTCTTCTGACAGTTTGGATCCTGTCAGTATCACCTTAAAGCTGAACACAAACAATCACTGTAAAGTATTTCCATCTTTCTAGTTTCAGGTAAAACCTGAGAGACAGTGGAAGATTTATACCAGCAGAGGGAAACAAAGAGCAATATCTTACATTTATATGCTTCAAAACAAAAATGAAGAAGTTATAAAATGGCACTAATCATTTGTTTTTTTAAGCATGTTACCTTATTATTTGAATTTTGTTTCTGATGTTATTTCTTGCAATGGACAAAAGTTGATATCCGCCCCCCATTGATTTAAACATAATAATAACCATTACATTGTAATTTTTTTTCCTCGTGTCTCATGGTTCAAGAGAGAAAAAAACAAAACACACATTTCGTCACATTTGAATAAAGTAGCTCACCTTTAGCAGAGCAGTGAGAATTCAATGATCTGGCAAAGCGGTTTTATATGTCCATTCACAGCGTTGATCCACACTCCTACAATTTAACCACAATATTTTTTTCCATTGCATATTTGGAGTTTCAAAAGGACTGAGGCAAATCTGGATGCCGGTTTGTTTTGTTGCATTTTGCTTGTTAAAACTTGGCACTTGGCAGGCATCAGTGTGCAATCTCCAGTGTGTCAAAGCTGCTAAAACAGCTGGAGATATTTCAGAGAGCAGACTCATAATTCACATTCCGCTCTTGGATCCGCTTCCTCTCTTATGGATCCAAGACCATTCACCCTCAGCTGTTGGTCTGCGGACTATTTTATTCTAAGACATTTTTAGAGCTGAGGTCTTTTGTATATACTTCCTTAAGGCACATTCACTCATACACATGCAGACAGGCATGTCCCATGAAGCCAGAATGTGAACAGATGATCTGCCTGGCTGTCAGGGCAAACAGGCTGAGCTCAGTACATTGGCAGCCACAGCAATGCCACTACTAATTGCCTCATTCCACGTATTTTCATAGCCTGTGTGTGTGTGTGTGTGTGTCTTCAAAATTCTCTGGTGGAGAGTCTATCTGGTGTGTTTCACACACCCCATACCCAAAACATGATGAGTCACATGCATGTGTGTGGAAAAATATGATTTGGCTCAGCAATGCTTGAAGGGGCTGACTTGTGACAGTCTGCTGGTATTATTTATATATAAATATATAAATATATATATATTGGAGATTTTAACCACTCCTAGAGGCCAGAAGATCTCATTTTGAGAGTGGCTCCTCTTCTGTAGCAAGCAACAAACTTTCGAGTGTTCAGCAGATTCCAATAAGGATCTGCTCTCCTTACAAATCTGTAAATGAGTTCCTTCTTCTCTGCTCTGTCACAATGAGGCCTCTGCTGATTTTAAAATGGGCCAACAGGACTGCTTTTCAGTGAATAGCTATCAAATACAAAGACTTGATAGTTGTCTGTTAGACTGCTGTCAAACAGACACCTGCTGGTTTAACAAACAGCACTGCCTGTTCCCATCTTGCCATGAGCTACTGATTTGATTTCACGGCGTAGTCGGCGCACATTTAAGTTGGTTACATTGCTATGAAGTTGGAGTTGTGCTGTCTGTCACCAGCAGCTCGTCTAATTTGATATTCAGCTCTGGCTGCTTATTACACCTCTGCAGTCTTTAAAACTAACCTGTTGTCAGTTTTGAAAATCACAGGATTTGGTTCAGCATTATTTTTTCCTTTACAGGTTCTGTCAGGAAACATCAGCATGACTTATGACGGGCTGCACTCTGCTCATTCTGATGTTTGTGTCAGCTTTGATTGGGTGTTGAAAGACTAAATATAAGCCATTTTGAAAGTAGAGTACCCAGAGGTAACACAGGCGACTTGCAAACTCCTGTTAGACATTGAGTGGTTGGAAAAGAGGACTTTCTGATTGGGAGGAAAAAGAACATTTCTAAAACACGATAGAAGTGATTGTAAGCTTTAACTGGGACAATTGTACATTTTCAGATAAAGAACTTCCTGTATTCTTACAGTGCTGTATCATCCTATGATGTAAGTAAGCAGTTAAATGTGCCCTTTGTAGTCTAATGAATCGAGTTCCTTTTATCTCCTCAGCTTCACTGTTTGAACAATCCTGAAGGCATGTTCAATGCAAACATTGTCTCAATCTGCAGACTTTGGGATTTAATTCAAGTGGACCATTTAAAAAAAGGTCAAACATGCAAGGCTGCACCACCAGTCAGAAGTTTGGACCCATTCACTCATTAAAAATGTATGGAAGAGTGCATAAGTGTGTCAAAACTAACAATCACTTAGTTATATTCATGTAATTAAAGGACGAAGTTGACTTTTGGTCTGTGCTTCTCAGCAGCGATGACTCAGGCCAAATCTAGCTGATTAACTCTTGATAGAAACTTGCAGACAATTTAAAGTGAGTGATTCTCTGAGGACACATGGCAGCAGTGCTTCTCATTTACTAAGAGTTCTATTTAAATGGGTTTTGCACATCTGATCTATATGCCTCATGGAAGGGTCCACATTAACATTATTAATATCACACCCCTGACCAGACCAGGGGTCTGATATTCAGGCTAAGGAAATTCCATATTAGCCGAATGTAAATAGGAAATGGAAAAGCTGCTCCACATAATACATAATGAGTAGATACAAAATAGATAGATCTGAGAAGTGGGCATCAGGCAGCCTCACTTAAGCAATTTTGTTTATTTTGTGACACTGATTTTTGTTTCCATGCCTGTATCAGTGTGCAATAACAAAGTTATGTTATTCAAACCTGCCCTTTTACCTAGAGTGAAGAAGTACTTCTAATGAGCTTTTTCTGCTGGTGGACAGCAAAGAATGTGAAGGCTGAGTGATGCTAGCAATCTGCATTTGCAACTCCATTGACCAAAAACTGAAATGGAAACAGACGGGTGGACATAAATGATCGTTATAGGCAAAGGTTTTAAAACAAAAGTTGTATCCAGTGGCTGGAGCACTGAAGCATTCACTTTAATCAACTGTAGTGCAAGAGAAAGAGCCATACTGCTTTTTATTACATTTCACAGTTCCTCATATCGAGCCATTCATATGCCCGCATACCCCTTTTTCGTAATCCATCCTTAAGTCTGCTATGAGGACGAAATTGTAACTTGTCTTTTGTGTCTAGTCACACGTCTTCAGTCAGAAGGGAGCAGACAAACAGTTTCAAACTCGACTGCGGATGGATGACAACTTTAAAAGCTTGTGGGTGGGGAAGCGGGTGGAGTGAGAAGGGCTTATAAGCACCAAAACAGGGTAATGGGCTGTTGGTGTCATCTGAGACGGCACATGTGTCTCTCCATCGTAGAGTATATTTCTGAGCCCTGTTGTTCCTAATCATAATAATAACAGCGAATCATTTGCATTGTTTCTCTGCAGCTCTCACTGTCTCAGCTGGCAGCTACTTCACGCTACCCGACCATCAGCCACTCCAGCTCGGCGTTGCCCTGGCAACAGTCATTTCCTTCTCTGCTCCATCCTTCCCCGTTGGCATCGGCCCACCAGCTGTCACATGTCGTAAGATTTCCACCCCCGTACGCTCACACACAAAAACGCACTCGCACACAGGCCTGCACGCACAGTCCACGTACAAAATACTCAGCTGACAGAACCCACATCTAAGTTTACAAGGTAGATGTGCTGGAAGATGTGCAGGAATGGTAACCGTAAAACCGACAGTGTTGAGTGTAAGACTTGAAAAATTTGCGGGTTTTTTCAAACAGTTCAAAGATGAACTTACCTTCACTACACTGGACTTACAACCATTGGAAACACGGACCAAACTTCCAGAATCGAACTCTCTATCTGCACACTGTTTGTCTCTGGAGATGCTGCAGGTGCAGAAACTGACCCGTTTCATCTTTCAGAATCAAAAGAAACTGCATTCTTTCACATGCATTTTCCCTTTTATGTTACTAAGGCTACTTTGGTTTTCGTGAGTTATCCAGTGTCCTGTTTGCCTTCCGACCACTCTTCTCAGCTCTTTTAACTGCTTCATTTTTGCACTACATGCCACTTTACTTTCAGGGCTTGGCTCGTTTCTTTTAAAATAACATTACAGGGTTATCTATGTGCAACTCCAACCTTTTTTTTCTTTTCTTTAGTAGGGTAAATGATTTCCTTTCTGACTTAATCAACATAAATCCCAGTGAACTGTCATGGAGATGATGATGATGGATATTAGTGAGTATTTAACAAGCCCCGATTTTTAACAAGCTTAATGCATGTGAGATTGTCCTGTCCTTGCAGCTAGGGGATATACTGAAGAAAAACTGAGGAAGTGAGCTGTACCATGCTGATTTTAATACCTCTGGTGAATTATTTCCGGAAATGATGCAGGGGTAACCTGCTCCCCACAGTTGTGGGTGTTTGCTGCTGAGAATTGGTTGGCAGAGTCATTTTGCCTTTGAAAGCTGCCTCGTCTTTGCTAAATTAGACAATATTCACCCACAAAGATGCATATATTTGGGAATTAGTGCACTGCACATTAGAAACAGTGCTGAAATCTCACAGAATGGTGAGGCGATCATAATGCTTTAATCCTGGGATTAACCCTGAGTCTTTTTCTGCTTATCAAAATCATTTTGCATATTCTTACATGATGTGTAAATGTCTCTTTGATGTATGAAAGAGATAATATCCAGCAAGTGTTTGAAGAGTACAGGGTTTTGATTGGCTGCAGGTAAACAACGTCAGTTTAAGGCCATGTTCAAACTGGCCAGGATGATGGTAATTGATTTTCTTTTGTAGGAAGCACAGAAACAAGACCTGCACTGTTCCGTGAAAGCTTTGTGTAAAATCACACCGAAAAGTTAGCATCTTTCTAACAGGCTGACATGGATGGAACATTTTCCTGTGATATAATTTGCGTGTCTTATCAACAACTCAATAGAAGGATTTTATAAGATAGTGAGGAGGCATGCTGTTTGATTCCAGGTTGTCAATTTTGGCCTGACTTTTTTCTGTGTGTTGAAAAAGATGCGGTGTCAAAAACAAGGCCGTGTGACCGAAAGGATGCCGAATCCCGAAAATCAGTGTCATTGGGAATAAAGCTAGCACATATTTAGTTGAATACATGTTCATTTCCATTGTTTTTGTCCTGTACATGAGGACCGTAATGGTTTTTAAAAAAAAAATGTTTTAACCCATCCCTGACCCACAAGTGGCAGAGAAGTTCACATCAACTTTCCGTGTTTTTTCTGCCGCAGGTTTTGGCTTTTGTGATAGAAGGTTTTGTAAATCTTTCCAAAATCAGTGTGTCAGTTCTGTCCTGACAGTTCTACCTGCGTATGTGCCTAAGCACAGCTAAGAAAGACTCCCTAACTAGACAGCAGTGTCAAATGGGTTTTTGCCATGTTTCAGGCTTCAAATCCACACAGCTTAGGCTATGAATCATATTGCAGGAATAATCCAGAAACCGAGGATCAGGCTTATAGGAGATAACAAAATAATCAGAAGCACAATAAGGCTGTAAAAAAAAGGCCCAATTCAATTTGATTCTGAAAGACTTTCTAAGTCCAGCCGTGATAAAACTGTCAGAATAACTTATCTATTGCATACTTTTGCACTGTGCAAAGTGCACTGCTTAGTAAAAAAGTTGCCATTTCTATTTATCTTTAGGGTGAAGTTTGTTTTCATCTCACAAAGTCAATGTAAAAAACTATAAACTCTGACCAAATATCGACAAATTGGTTATTTCTTTATATAAAGAACATCGTGATACCCTAAAACAGCTGATTCAAATTGATAAGATACAAAACATCTATCCATCCATTTTTCTGAACTGCTTATTCCCAAATGAGGTCCAAGGGGGACTGGAGCCTATTCTATTAGTCAATGGGCAAGAGGCGGGGTACACCCTGGATGTTACGCCAGTCCAGCGCAGACACACAAAGACAAACAACCACGCACACTCACACAGGGCAATCCTGAAGGTCCTGTGGAGGTCCAACACTGATGTCACACTGGAGGCATTGAAAGATGGAAATATTAAAGTCAATGGAGAGGGCGACATTTGCCCCTTAAGCTGCCATTAGTTTGTAGTTATGATGCTCTAAGTGGTTTCTCGAGTTATTAAATCAGCTTGCAGAATTGACAGCTTAAACCTTCGTTTGTCCTTGTTATGTTAAAACCTGAGCATGGCTACCAGTGAAAAACACTCATCCCTCAGTCATCATACACCAAACCTTCCATGGCAGTACATCAGTTTTAAAAGGAGGCCATTACTTTGAATAATTGAAATGTTTTGATGACATCTACACCACGACCAGACACCCTTTTATTTATTATTTTTCTGTTTCATCAGAAGAGTAAAAAACGTGTGTCTTGTATACATGCTTGATTTTAGTTGAGGCTTTAATCACCCCTGCGTGTCCTCTAATAAGCCAACTAAACCGTGCATGTGTCAGCTTGACTGGAAAATGACATCATTAGCACTCAGCTAATTGTCAGCGCTCTTGTATCCTGAGCTGCGTGTGTAGTGGCTAAATGTCCTTTCTTGACTTTCTTCTCTTTGACGAATGCAAATAACCACTCTTTCAGACGGGAAGAACGAGTCTACGCGTATTAAGGTTTTAACGACGGTAGAAAACGGTGTATTCACCCCGTCTTTACTGAACATTCTAAACAGACAAAAAACGTCAGTTTACATTCAACAAAGCGCGAGCTCCGAACGTTATCGCTCAGCGTCAGTTTCTATTGGCTGTTTAGTGAAGATCATTTTAAACATTAAAATAAATTCAGATTAAACTAAAATCAATTATAAATTAGCAAAACAATAACTTAGTAAACTGCTATCATAAATATTCTATGAAAACATAGAACCAAAATCATCCAAAATAATAACTAAACATGAGCATAAATTACTCCATAGAAAATGGCACCAACATTTCCGGCCCCTAATTGCTCATCATGGGGATGACAATTACACTAAATTTAATAAACCAAAGAGTCATTTTCTATACTCAAATCCCCATTACATAAATGTCATAAGGTCTAAACATCAACTAACTTAAGTCACATTAGTTGGCAGACAATTAACTGAACGAAATGTCTTTCATTGTCCATGAGATTCTTCCGTTTCCAACAAGAGACACAACTTGTCAATGGGTCTCTCAAGGGTGTTGGTCTTCGTTTTCACGAGGACCCGACGAACGAGCCCTTGGGCGTCGGGGATGGTCTTTTCCACTTTTCCCATCAACCAAGACCCTCTTGGAGCCCTTTCATCCACAATGAGCACAACGTCCCCCTCTTTCAGATTTCTCCTCTTCTCCAGCCACTTCTGCCGTTCTTGTAGGAGGGGCAAGTATTCTCTTGACCAGCGCTTCCAGAAGATGTCAGAGATATACTGCACCTGCCTCCATCTTCGTTTGCAGTACAGATCTTCTTTCTGAAACGTGCTTGGAGGGAGTGCTGGCCTTCCTTTGAGCAGAAGAAGATGATTCGGTGTCAGTGGCTCGAGGTCATCGACATCATCCGATGACTTGGTAAGGGGTCTGCTGTTAATCACTGCTTCCACTTCGCACATCACAGTGTGCAGACATTCGTCGTCGAGAGACTGGAGCTTCAGGACACTGGTGAGTACTTTGCGCACTGTTCTTATTTGGCGCTCCCAGATCCCGCCGTGGTGCGACCCAGCGGGCGGGTTGAAGATCCAGGTAACTCCTCTTTGCAGCAGAGCTTCTGAGATCTGGGACTGATTCCATTCCTTCAAGGCCTTGCGAAGCTCGTGTTCTGCAGCTGCTAGATTCGTGCCGTTATCGGATCTCATAACTTCCACTTGTCCTCGTCTTGCAATGAAACGTCTCATTGCATTTATACATGAGTCTGTGTCCAGTGAGTGTGCTATTTCAATGTGGATGGCTCGGATTGTAAGGCAAGTAAACAAGACTCCGTAGCGCTTGACTCGTGCTCTTCCACGCTTAGCTTCAAAGGGGCCAAAGTAGTCTACGCCGACGTTGGTGAACGGTGGGTGATCTGGCTGAAGCCGATCTGTTGGTAGATTTGCCATCTTCTGTTCACCAACTGCGGCTTTACTCTTTCGGCACTTCACGCACTTTGAAAGCACACTTCTCACTGCTGTATTCCCTTTGCATATCCAGACTCTTTCTCTCAGTCGAGCAAGGGTGTGGTTTCTCCCTCCATGTCCGGTCTCCTCGTGTGCGTTCCTGATGATCAGAGTTGTGACATGATGGTTCTTGGCTAGAATAGCCGGATGCCTTGTGTGTTCCGGCAAAGCTGCCTGGTCCCAGGCAAGTTTCAATCGACAGAGATTTTGCACAATTGTCTTGGCCAGAAGAATGAATGGCGACAGGAAACCAAGGGGGTCGTAAATTGAGCTTACGACTGATAGGATACCCCTTCTGGTGACAGGCATGGTCTTCACAAGGATCCGGAACTTGAAGGAATCTGATTCTATGCACCAGTCCACTCCAAGCGCCCTTTCCATGGGTAGCTCATCCTTGTCCAGATCTAGATTCTTGATCTCATTCACACGCTCATGTTCGGGAAGCGATGAC